TAAACTTCATGTATACCCAAAAGTACCAAAAAAAAAAAAAAAAAAAAAAAAAAAAAAAAAAAAAGAAAACAGATTTGAACATGGAGATTTTACCAGGTATTGTGCTAATCTGAGATATGATTTGAAGTGCTAAAACAGACATGATTTGAAATAAAGTTTAGAGGGTGGCTTTGATGATTAAGTTTTTTAATTAATAATTAAAACAAAACTCTACTTCATATCTTGCCTAGAAAAACGGCTAGGATTGTTCACATAAAAAATAAACCTTTTATTTACCTTTTTAGGGTGAGTAAGCAGCAGGAGTGAAAAAGCAGAGATATTAATGGAAATTTAATGGGATCAGAAAATCTAAAAAGTGTTATAATTAAATTTTTGACATTGTGATATTTGCATGCATAGATTTTTGATAAAAATGAAACAAAGATATTATGTTTGCTTGGCTAGACACAGCAAAATATAGATAAAATAAAATGTTCATACTTCTGAAAGTAATTAGAAATATTTATTCATGATCAATAAAAATAAAATTCAATTGAATGATATAAGCTTAGAATTTAAGTATCCAACACAATCCAAAAACAAATGACATAATGTGATGGTCATATGCTAGCATCTAAAAGATGAAAGCTTAATATAAATAACAAAATGTGTTCTTCCTGTGAAAAGATTCAGGTAAAAGAGCCTTACAGAAGTTCTTGATTTCTACATTTTGCTGAACTGTTCTGTTGATAACAAACCACAATGGAGCAGAATATGCTGGGAAACCAGGAATGAATGGACCTTACCTTTGCTCATCTGACCTTACTGTGGTGGCAGATCTAAAAACAAGAAGCTGATAAAGGCACAAGGATGTATAAGGAACTGGTCAATTTTACTGTTCTATAGATAAAAAATGGGAGAACTAGAAAATATGAATTTTATAACCTCTTAAGTTCACACTGATCTATGATTACTTTAAAAATACATATGATCACTCTAGGAGGCTGAGGCAGGAGGATCATAAGTTCAAGCCTAGCCTGGGAAAATTAGCCACTTAGTGAGACCCTGTTTCAAAATTATTTAAAAATAAAGTGTGCATGGGAGGGTGGGTTAGGATGCAGGAGTATCACAAAAATAAATATTAAATTACACATGAGAACATTCATAATTTGTTACTTCTCACTAAAAGATAAGCAACAAATTGAGCATATTTGAGATCTGTGGGACAGGCTGTCTTATGTTTTGGCTTCTGTATCTCTATTTTGCAGAGAATGTATTAGAAAGACATTTAAGCTTCGTAGATAGAAATTCATTCACTCCCTCACATCAAAGTACAAGAGAAGAAAAGTTCACAAATTATAAATTCTTAGAAAACATAAAAGATACTTTGGGCCCAGCAAAGAAAATGTCAACAAGTCAAAAAATACTAGATGGTTATTGACTAGTTTCATGAAAGCAAAGCTCCAAGCCAAGATGGAATAATGCTTCTCCACCATGTGTTAAAGTCTATAAGTGACACTAATCCTTTTTAATTGTCATAAAAGCTGACAACTTACTCAGCCTTAGAACTGAAGGCACAAAATCATCTCTAGGAATGACTCACCATAAACAGGTCTCGGGCACCAATATCAACAGCTAGGAGAAATGCCTTTTCAAACCTCTGGTACCTATTAAAGAAGAAAAAGAAATGCAGGTCATATGAGAGGAGGGAGATATTTGTTTGTTTGCTGTTGTTTTCATTCTTCTGATGGGAAAGATATTTTTAAACAGAATGGAGTCATTTATTAGGATGCTCCGTATGTGAAATGTTACTGAACTTAGCAAGAGCAACAGCATAAAGCCTAAGGCAGTTATAAGTATAATTTCCAAGGATACGCATAACCTTAAGTAGACACTACTCACAAAATATGTTTTCATAATTTTTTACTTTATTGTGTTTTATAAGAGAAAATTGTGGGGAGATATACATATGTGTATATATATATATATGTATATATATATATATATAAATTATATGCAATGTGTCAGACTTTGTTCTCTGTGGTAGAGAATAAGATATAATCCCAATGTTCAAAGAATGTAGAGATCACCAGTTTGTAGCCTTGAGTTAGTCTGGCCTGTAAGTATGGTTTTTTTTTCCCCCTTTGGTACAGTAAGGTAAATGATGAAAAATTAAATATTACATTATTAAAAGTGCCTCATATTTGTGAGTTTAAAAATTCCAGGCTATAAATCACTTTCACATTTAAAAATATATTACCTTTCTAATATTTCCCATAATCATATTCTTTCCCTAATGTATGATTTTACAAAGCTCTTTGTCAAAGTTTAATTTTAGGCTAAAATATATAAGAACAACATGCAGTTTAAAGGAATTACCTCTACACAAAGCTTTAGATCTTGAGAGAAAAGCATGTCATAAACATACATATAATTAGCACAGGCTTTTGGAATGAAAACTTGTCTTTATTTTGTCTGGGTGCTAAGATTTACATAGATATAAATGTCAGTTTTTCTTATTTTAGCTAGGAACAAGCAGTTATTCTCTGCTCGTTTTTTTTTTCTTTCTTTTTATTGAGGTTATTGGTATACAATCTAGGTATGCAATACAATTATCCTCCCTTCACCCCCTCCTCCCCTCCCCATTTACAAACACTTCATTTCCATTTTTTCAGTTTCTCATATTTTTTTCCTCTCCCTTATTACCTTTCCCCCACCCTTCCCACTTTCCTTACACCTTTAGCCCTTTACTTCCTATTTCACATTATTAATTGTCTCATTAGGATCCTGTGTACTATTATAGTTTTTCACACCAAAGAAACTATTCGGTATTTCAGTTAAAGAAATCTCTGTATGTCTCTGTTCCTTAATTCATATTGTAAAACTTGATGGTAGAAAAGCTAATGATCTCAAGTAAAATAATAGCAAGTTCTGAATATTATTACTATTTTTATTAGTGAAATAAATAAAAAATCAAATAAGCAAGGTTTAACAACATTATATATGAGATACAGAAACTTGAAACACTTGTGGAATTTCCAGCAGTTTAATAACTGCTACCCTCATTTCCTCCTTGTCCCTTTAAAAATTTTATTTGTTTATTTATTTATGGAATTGGAACCGAGGCCTAATGCTTGCTACACAAATTCCTTATCACTGAATTATATCCCCATCCTCCACATCCAATTTTAGTAGTACCTCCTGTATTTTCCTGAATCCTCTTAGCCATTTAAGTTCAGAAGGCAATTATGCTTAATTTTCTGGTGGAAGAGTGTCTTGTGACTGGGAGTTTAGTGCTTTACTATATATTCAGTGATGATGGAATACACTGAGGAAAAGAGAATCATTCAGTTGTACTGTAGATCATACATTTACTGCCATTTTACAATGGCTTATTCCTTTCTATTCTGGCAACATTAAGCACCCATCTTTAATGATTAAAATTAAAGATCTCATCTTATGTGCCCTTTGGTCATATCTAGTCCTATAACCCTCTTTTGGTCATATCTAGTTCTTCCTTGAAGCCCTCTTCATTCTTGGCTTTCCTTTATTCTTTGCTTCCCTATTTGCTAGGCTATATCTACTTTTTTTTTAAAGACAAGGTTTTGCTATATATTTCACGCTGTTCTTGAACTCACTATGTACTCCAAGCTGGCCTGAAACTAATGGCAACATTCCTGCTTTAGTCTCCTGAATGCTGGGATTACAGGCATGCACCACTATTCATGGCTAGACTGTATCTTCTTAATCTTTTCTAGTTCATTTTTCTTTATATCCCCTTTAAATTGGTGTTCTATGGTCCTTCATAGATTTCTGTGCACTCCAGTCTCTCCAATAACCTTAAACTATCATGGTATTGGGGCTGGCAATTTAGCTCAGTGGTGCCATACCTGCCTTGCAAGCTCAAGACCCTGAGTTCGAATCTGGGTACCCCCCCCGAAAAAACTATCATGATATTGATAATTAATTATATAAACCAATCACAAATTTACAGTTCTAGGATCCAACTCTCCTTTGAGCCCCACACAATTTCCAGGCACCTCAAACTTAACCTCATGTGCCCATTTTAACATCACTTTGGCAACCATACATAGGACAAATTAAAATTGGAAAGAGTAAAATTTAGGGAGATAATAAAGGACGAGCTCATGGCCCTGTGTATATGATAGGTGTTATGATAAAATGAAGAAATTGGCAGTGGCATTTGGCAGTGTGGTGAATATGAAATAGCAAAAAGAACTCGCAACTAGATTATTTAGAAAATTTACTTTAAAGTATGAGTTTAAAAAAGTTAAGAAAATAGTCAAGGGCACCTGTCAAAACTATAAAAATAAAAATATACAAACAAACTTGCTTAATGGAAACCAGAGTAAGGATTCCTATAGACAGCAGATAATTAACTAAGAGAAACTATTAGTATAAATGAAACAAATTAGCATATATATTAAAACATTTTTGATACAGTGGAATTGGTAATTATTTGAGTTTCTTCCTACTTGTAATCTGTCTTCTATTTTGCTCTTCATTTGTATACATATATATTTTTCTCATATAAGAGTTTTGTCCTTTCTTTTATTAGTACACATTTGCAATTTATAATGTTTACATTAACTTTAGAAAGTAGGTACGTGTACTTAACACATCTTCTTTATAATCCTCCTCTCCCCTCCCTTTTTTATGAAAAAATAAAATTTCATATTCAAATGAGTGAACAAGTTATTATACTGTGTAGAGTTATCTTTAAAGTAGATTCTCAGAGCATAAGACATAAGCCAAATTATTCTTATAAAGAAGAAATGAATAGATACTAACACAAATCTTTCTTTTCAACAAACTGAGATAAGCCAATTGTATAAATGAAAGTTTTGTGCTATAACCTGTTTCTTCTTTGTAAGAATCTTTTTTGTCGCTAAGTAACTACTTTAATGGTAACGATACATAGTGTATTAACTATTATTATTCTTTTATTTTGTTTTCAAATTGTTTCATTTTTACATAAAATAATATTAAAAGAAAAAAAGACAAGAAATGAAGGTAGGGTCATCACCCTCAGAAGACTGACTTGAACAAATTTCAAGGTAAAGGTGTTAAAGCCAAGACTTCTGATTAAGCTGCAGGTTAAAAGGAATCCAGATGAGGAATGCTCCCAACTTTAGCAAAAATGAACAAAAAATAATGTCTGCATTAAATGCTTTTGACAGAGGACCCAAAGAATTCAAAATTGAAATCAGGGCCAGGGATTTAGCTCAGTGGTGCTGTGCCTGTCTGGGAAGTGCAAGGTCTTGAGTTCAACCCCTGGAAAAAAAAAAAAAAAAAAATCAAACAAGTACAAATTCAAAGATCATAAAAAATATAAAATAAACTACTATAACTGAAAATTAGAAAAAAATTTAGATCTCAGGGGCTTCAGATATCTGAATTATTAAAGTTAGTATATAAAATCATTTAGTATAATATATTTAAAGACATAAGAGATGGAGTCATGAAAATAAGCATGTAATATGCAATAAAATTTACCAGGTCATTTTTAGTTTTTTTCTTTTTGTTTTTTTGAGACAGGGTCTTACTATGGAGTTGAGACTGACCTGCAACTCACTATGTAGCCCATGCTGGTCTTGAACTCACAGCGATCCTCCTGCCTTAGCCTCCCAAGAGCTGGGATTACAGGTGTGCGCCACCATGCCCAGCTACCAGGTCATTTAAAAAAAATAATAAAATAGAACATTTAGAAATGAAAAGATTTAATTATTGGAGTTAAATAACCTCACACAATTGAAGAATTACTAAACTAAAAGTATATTAAATGATGCATAAGTGAGATATTATACAAAATGTTCCCCAAAGTTTAAAAATATAAAGAGAGGTTAATATAGAACATAAAAAAGTCTAACATGTTTACTCAAGGAATTAAGTTAATAGCTAAGAATATCCAGATCTGACAAATAATATTAATCAACAGATCGGAGAGGAACAATATATGTCAACTAGGGTAAATGAAAAGGCATGCCATATTTCCCCTAAAATAAGACCAGGTCTTATATTAATTTTTTTCTCCAAAATATATAATAGGACTTATTTTTAAAGAGATATCTCATTTTCATGTACAACAATCTGTATTTATTCATATATAACAATCTACATTTATTCATGTACAAAAATCTACATTTATTTAAATCAATCATGTCATCTTCTGGAACATCACTGTAACTCTCCAAACTCTGAATTTTGGCCTGAATTTCACATGACTTCCTTTCCTGTAGATCTATTGGTCCCAATCTTTCATGTCCAACAACAGACCTCTCCTTAAATGAGCACTTCCTGTCCATGTAAGCTGCTTATAATGCATCATGACAAATATAACATTGAATTATGAAGATTTTTATTAGACATAACCATGCCCATTCATTATCAAGTGTTCATGTTATTCATGCATTGTGTCTATACTCCAATTGGTCATTTGCAATAAACCTCAAATTCATCTTTTTACATATTTGTTGGCTTTCATGTAAAAGAGCCCACTTGAGTATTTACAAATAATTATTATTCATGTCAACAATTCCATTTATATTTGATTAATAATAGTATTATTTTATAATACATTATGTTGGTTGTGTGTTCCAAAGGATGAAGGAAATGTTTTCATCTGATCTTAACTGGCTTATTTTGG